TAGGAGCTTTGCACCTCATGGTGTTCGTGATGCACTCTTCATAGACTCTAGGTCGTCAACCTACTGCTGTAATATTCACCTGATTTCCGCTTTGCCACTCATGGTGCATGCGATGTTCTCTTGATAAAGGTTGCCGACCTACGGATTTTAGAACTTTGCACCTCATGGTGTTCGTCATGCACTCTGCATAGACTGTAGGTTGCCAACCTACTGCTGTAATATTGAGCGAATTTAAGCTTTGCGACTTATGGTGCATGCGATGTTCTCTTGATACAGGTTGCCGACCTACAGATTTTAGAAGCTTTGCACCTCATGGTGTTCGTGATGCACTCTTCATAGAGTAGGTTGCCAACCTACTGCTGTAATATTGAGCGAATTTCAGCTTTCCGACTCATGGTGCATGCGATGTTCTCTTGATAAAGGTTGCTGACCTACGGATTTTACGAGCTTTGCACCTCATGGTGTTCGTGATGCACTCTTCATAGACTGTAGGTTGCCAACCTACTGCTCTAATATTGAGCGAATTTCAGCTTTGCGACTCATGGTGCATGCGATGTTCTCTTGATAAAGGTTGCCGACCTACGGATTTTAGGAGCTTTGCACCTCATGGTGTTCGTGATGCACTCTTCATAAACTGTAGGTCGTCAACCTACTGCTGTAATATTCACCTGATTTCGGCTTTGCCACTCATGGTGCATGCGATGTTCTCTTGATAAAGGTTGCTGGCCTGCGGATTTTAGGAGCTTTGCTGTTCGTGATGCACTCTTCATAGACTGTAGGTTGCCAACCTACTGCTGTAATATTGAGCGAATTTCAGCTTTGCGACTCATGGTGCATGCGATGTTCTCTTGATAAAGGTTGCCTACCTACGGAGGTTGCCAACCTACTGCTGTAATATTGAGCGAATTTCAGCTTTGCGACTCATGGTGCATGCGATGTTCTCTTGATAAAGGTTGCCTACCTACGGAGGTTGCCAACCTACTGCTGTAATATTGAGCGAGTTTCAGCTTTGCGACTCATGGTGCATAAGATGTTCTCTTGATAAAGGTTGCCGACCTACGGAGGTTGCCAACCTACTGCTGTAATATTGAGCGAGTTTCAGCTTTGCGACTCATGGTGCATAAGATGTTCTCTTGATAAAGGTTGCCGACCTACGGAGGTTGCCAACCTACTGCTGTAATATTGAGCGAGTTTCAGCTTTGCGACTCATGGTGCATGCGATGTTCTCTTGATAAAGGTTGCCGACCTACGGATTTTAGGAGCATTCAGCTTGGCAGCCGCCAATGTGGTAGACCCGATCCGTTGCATCTTTCCACCGTCAGGGACTCTGGGAGCCGGGACGCCACGATCGTATTCACTCCGCGACAGAAAGCTCATGCCTGAGCTCGGGCAGGTCAACGCAGGTCGGGTCTTCACAGGGCAGGTCGGATCAATCCAACTAGTTGATGGACCACTGCCAATGAGTGGAATGAGTGGATAAAACATTGAAAACAAAAAACACAAACATTAATTTAGATGGAATTATGCATATAGAATTGTATAAATGCTCTATATCAACTCATTTGTAGTTATACAGAACGCATCGCACCTGGTCACCTCTTCCCGAACATCTCTTAAGCACCCACCCAAGGCCTCTTCCGATCCGTCCTTTCCTCCGCCCAGTGGCTTCGAATTCCCCACCTTTCGCCGACACGGCACCTGGCGTCGGGATCGACCCCACCGCTCATCTATGGCAGTCGTGTGTCACCTTCTTGGCTTCAATGCAGTGCCAAGTCCCTCTCTCTCTCTCTCTCATTCCTTTCGGTGCTTGGCCGAGGCATGTGCTTTGCGGGCCACTTTTACGTTGCAGTTCTTCCGTTTTTTTGGGGTTGGGTGTTCTGGAAAACTGTCGTCCAGCCCGACAAAAAACGTGCCAGCACGGCGGTGGCAGTACTTGGTGGGGCCTCTTTCTAGTCTGAGCCACAAAATGCCAGCGAAGAAGAAACCCACTTGAACACCACAGGACTAAAGCTTCGAATTCGTCTTGCCAGCAAAGATTTGAGCACCTGCAGGCCATGCAAAGATCTGAGAGCAATCATTTGCATTTTTAACTCAAATTCATTGCATCGCCAGCCGTGTTAACCAGCGAGAGAGTCTTCCTGCTGATTCCTGCTTGTTGCACACTTAAACGAAGAAGCATCATCACCATGAGGAGCAAATCGTTTGGTCCGAAACTTCAGGAGCATTCAGTCTTTGTGCCAAGTGCTGGCCATGCTCCACTGTGCCATCACGAGCAAGGATCCTTTGCCTGACATGTCAGCGAAGCCACCAAATAGAAACGTTCCCTGCTCTGCCTTAAGACTTATCATCGAATAGCCGAATAGCCGCTATTATAATTTCTCCAAACACCTCCAAAACATCTCCACAACCAACATATAGATCCTCTGCCTGCAAGCAATGGAACGCCAAGATGAAGCCTTCAGGGATGCGCAACTCGTCTTCATTCATAGACACGGCTCCTTTTCGATCACTCACTATACAAATCAAAGGTTGCCTGATGATTCACAAAGGAGCAGCACAGAGGTAAGCTCGTACCTGCAAGTAGCCAAGCCCGAGGTGTAAAGCAAAGACCCTACAGGTCATGTAAGTACACATGACCCGAGAGAGCAATTTGAAACTTCAACAGATTCCGATGTCGGTTCCATCTGCCTTACACCAAAGCCGAACACGCAGCTTTTAAGGCGTGATCCTAAAACCGCCTACGCCATGACTGGGGATGTGCTATTGTGTGATTAGGGTTTTTAGCCAATCAATAAATACAATAGTTGCGATGGCCTCCAGCCTAAAAGCGATGGCCCAATGCGGTGTGGGGTTCAGATCACCCAAATGAGTTGGCACCCGACGTCACTCAGATCACCGTTGGCACCGGAGGAATGGATCGTCGTGACCCTCTTCGTCGATGCCGCTGGCGTAGTAGGAGGGCCTCGGGCGCATCTGCACGGAGGTGAAGTTCTCCGAACTTGAAAGAAATGCCTTGCAGCATGTTGATGATGTACAAATGCTATTGAGTTCCAATAGGTTATGGCTGGAGAACCCACTCTTAGAACCAGTCGTGCCAGGACAAAAGGCCCTTGGGTTCTCCCACTCAACCCACACTGCTCCGACTCCTCGACTTTGCGCCGGACTTCCGGAAGTCGGGCTCGTCCGAAAAGAGATCATCCAGCGTCTTGGGCCTCGGCCAAGCGGCTTGGGCCGTGGAGCAAAACCATGCGGGAGGGAGTAAGCGCGGAAACCCCACACCACCACCCCGAGGTCGGCAAGAAAATCGGGAAAAGCATGTATTTTTAGCCAAAGGTCACTATTAGGTCAGCTACGTATCCACGGGTTACTTGTTGAATCGTGTTGATAGGTTATTGATCCTGCTGACCAAGCCTCTTGCCTTTGAAAGACACAGAAAATGATTGGGCACAGGAAGAGCACCACTCCACAAAAGGATGCAAACCCTCACTGTAATGAATAGCTTGGGTTTGATGCTCATCCCACCAAATGCAACCACTGTCCTTCTCTCACCTTCAACTCCGGTACACCATCAACAACCTCAGGTCGATGAATCAACCTCTGGGTCATCTCTTCTCCCTTCCTCTTCCCGCATTGGGAACCCCCGAGCCTTGGAGGCTTCAAGCCTTTCAGTGGGGATGCACCTGCCGTTACCGCGTTGTGGCGATGGCCGCGGCGGGCGCCGATGCGGCCATGCCGGGTTCGAAGACGGGGGTGAGATGACGGACTAGGTGAGATGAAGGATCCTTAGACTAAATCCTTAGATCTTTGTTCTTCTTATTGTCCATAGGTTTCTTCACTCTAGACCCGCTGCTTTTGGATCATCTGCAAATGGGACCACTACCTTTTGGGTTCGTAGTCCGGGCAACCTTTGCCGAAGCAAGCGAAAGGCCTTCTGCAAAACTTGCCCAAATTGCAGTGCTTCAACCCTGGCATTGCTTTGATGAGCTTTTGCGCACCAAATCGGCGGTGGCTGTCGCTTCGTTCTGTCAGCTCTGCGCCAGGCGCCGTGAACGCTGCTTCGCGGCACGCCTTCCCGTTCGGCCAGCTCTGCGCTGAAGACCCGGACCACGCCGCGGGCGGTGGGCAACAAGCGCGGCAGCAACTGGGTCGGGGCGGTCTCTCTCCATGTCGCCCGGGTCTCGGCATGGATCCATTTTTTGATGAAGACTCATGGAGACCTATGGGTCATGGGCCCAGTGGACCTACTCCATCTTTCGTAGATATGGGCCCGGTGAACAGCTAAAGGTGAAGTATTATCAAAAGATTCTGGATTTGGGATGGAATGGTCCACCTGCAGCAGTTGGGGATGGACATGTTCTTATCCAACTTATCCATCCCATTCAACAGCATGTCACCTCTTCTTCCAGCAAAGGCCGGCTGACATACCTAGCAGCGGGCAGAACGTTCATCCTTTTGAGACGTCCAGCCTCCCTTTCTGCCCCTGAAAAGCAACAAGCAAACCACTTGCAGCTTGTTCTGCTGCCTTCACTTCCAGAAAAAGCACCACAGGTGCCATACGCACAGCATGAGCACCATGCAGAGCGTTCCAAGAGCGCACTGGCGCAGAAAGGCCAAGGAAGCGAGCCGTGGAGCATCCTCTTGCGGCACACCGGAGCCCTGCCCGACGACGACGACGACGACGACGACGACGCCGCCGACGCCGACGCCGACGCCGACGCCGCCGACGCCGCCGACGCCGCCGACGCCGCCGACGCCGCCGACGCCGCCGACGACGACGACGACGGTACTGCCAGACGCGATGACGCTCAAAAGCACGGTGCGAATTGGTTGTATTCTCCCCATTTTCTGTCTCATGAATTCATGATTCTGATGTCTGGCGAGCGAAGCTCATGATTGTAGATCCCTAAATAGACGTCTTCTGATGTCACATATCTGCAAGGTAGAAAGTCTTGAGATGCCTCCTCGCTTGGACTATCCAGAAGCTCTTCATAGCTTGCCACGCCTGCGGCATGCCATGCTGCAAGCATCCACATGAGGCTTTATCAGCATCCAATTAAGCCGTTCCTCTAGGCCATTGGACTTGTTCAGGCTTTATGTATTGGATTTTGACTTCCCCATGTCCCATTCATGTCCAGCTTGCTCATTTTCCCATCAATGAAAACATTGATCGTTTTTGGCGATCTTGGTCCTGCGGAACAGCCGATCATCGTCACCTCGCCTTCGTCTACCAGTTTGACTCTGGCTGCTGGCACCGACTCCTTACTCTTCGCGATGTTCAGATTGAAAGCCAGGTTCTTCCTTTGATGGTTGTCCATGGCTTCTTCAAGCTCTGTCTTTGTGTTTCTTTGCTTCTTTTTCAGCTCAATTTTGTGAGACTCACGATTTTTCTCTCAAAGAGATCTGGGAAAAGAGAAAACACGACGTAAAACCACCAAACATCGTTCCGCCCGGCGTCCGCACCTCAGCACAGGGGGGCATTTCAGCCAAAGCCCGAAGTGTTTCGCACCTCGAGGTGCGAATTCATGGAGGAGGGAGGCGCGGTGCGATCGAAGCACAGGCGACCCAAACAAGTCCGAAGAAAAATGGGCCGGCTTGCAGGCCTTGCAGGCCTTGCAGGCTCCAAATCTGTCTGGGTTTTGGGGGCTCCCATGGCCTTCAATGTGTTTTTGTTGTCATGTTTAGCTTGCGAAATGGAAGCCTGTTCCTGTTTGCTTCAACCTTGAGTTTTTGGCAGATCATCCATGGCTAACACTTACTTGAAACCTTGCAAGGTGGATCAGAATCATGTCCACCGATCTGATGTTATTTATCATATCGCGAGGGCATCTTATGTCTTCTTGTTCTTCTTTCTGTCCTTTCTTCCTGCATTGGATGTGTAGACCTATAGAGACCTTTCCTTCCTTCCTTCCTTCCTTTCTTCCTTTCCTTTTCCTTTTGCATCTCCTCGTGTCCTCAGCTTCTAACCATAAGAGCTGCTCCAAGGAGATTGCGCTCAACGAGCTTGGGGTTGAGGTCCCACCGTTCGTGCTTTCCTCCAAACTCCAATGGCCGGAGTGTAAGGGCGAGTTGCAGGGCGTGCACAAAGTCGTCTCAGCCACAGATTTACAGGCTGGAGGCCATCGCTATTCAGTTGGAGGCCATCGCTAGTGGGTTGGAGGCCATCGTATTAGTCTCAGCCACTGAATTTATATATCTCCTCATGTCGCTGCCATGCATTGATCACCAAGACCTCATCCTCCTCCTGAGGTCATCAAGTAACACGCAAAAAGGAAAAGTTTTGAAAACTGAGGATTATAAATATCTACCAAGACAGTTCTTTTTCGGTATTTTCATCATCAAACTCCTGCTTCATGTTGACGTTGCAGACTTTAGAGTCCCATTTGGGCTGAACCCACAATAATTGCTCAAGTGTGGGGAATGAAGAGCAAATTTCTGCTCAGCAAAGCAACTGCAAACTTTTCTGCAAACACCTTCTTCCGAAAGCAAGCGGCAAAGATGCTTCACCTATGAGTGCAGCTTGTCTAGCCGGTTCCCGCGTTGTGCAAGACTAGGACTAGGCTGCCGCGCAGACCAAGCTTGGTGTTTGACGACCAAGTGTTCGGGTCCAAATTTTCACGAAGTTAGGCATCCACACAACTCGCAAGAAAGGGGCAATGCTTACTTTACATACGACATGTGCAATGCCCTCATCTTGCAAATGAAAGGCTTTGAGATTCCAACAAAGACATCTCAAACATGGTTTCCACGGGGCTTCTTGGTGTCCACTGCCGATTTTGGCATTGCGACAAGGTCTGCTTTGACTCACTCTCTGATTCTGGCTTTCACAAACTCATTCGATCGCCTTACCGTGTGGATCGGAGACCTGTACAGCTGTAGTGACTTTGATGGGCCAACCTGGCAGTGCTTCTGCTCCCTCTTTCAGCCCCGCAAGGTTGCCCTGCGCGTCAAGCAAAGTGAGGTGAACGAAAGGTGGATCTGCAGCGTCTGGGTCAAAGGACCTGGCCCTAAAGCCTCAAAGGTTGCCCTTTCGGGTCTTTCTATCCTCCTGCACTCTGGTAAAACCATCCCCGTATGGCAGAAGAGGTTCTTGTGAAACCCTGTCAACATCTGGAATCCTGCATCAATTCCCTCTTAACCTTCCACCCTCCAGGCATTCTCAGCCACCTCAAGTTAGTGATGTAAACATTTAACAAAAATTAGAGGCCATCGCTTCTAGGTTGGAGGCCATCGATCTTAGGTTGGAGGCCATCGCTACTAGGTTGGAGGTCATCGCTTCTAGTTTGGAGGCCGACACTAGCAGGTTGGAGGCCATCGCTATTAGGTCAAGGAGTTATTAGAATGAAAGTGGTCTAAGGGTTTGATGCCACGGGTTGCAAGAGGGAGCGTGTGAAGAAGCTGAATTCTCAAGGCTTCCACTGGTCACAGGTCTGGTTCCAGGGCCAAAAACCAGCTCATTCCGCATCCTTTCGTGGCATCACCTCAGCTCGGAAGGAAAGTCTCAAGCTTCAGCAAATGTCCGGCTTTCATCCTGTTTCCCTGGATGTCTCCGCAGCAACAAGCCAATTCCAGAGTCCGCCCGCGCCGAAGGTGCCGAGGGCATTATGAGGCTAGTCGGTTCAGTTCAATCTGAAGCTTTAGCTTGGGGGGGGACCTCTTGGCTGTGGGTCAAGACCAAGGCACCTTGGTTGACCACCAACCATGGACAAAATAGACAACAAGGAAGGTTAACCTACCATGGTGTGAAGCTTTTGGGCTTTGACTCGCAGCCACTTTGAGTTACGAAGTGCAATGCTTTACTACAGTGTTTTTTTAAGATGTGCAAAAATTGGACACAAACGTTGACGATGCCGGTTATGCCGGCCGGGGGAGATCGCATCATCGACATCATGAATACAAACTGACAGACTGAGATAGACCGAAACAAATAGACCAAGACCGAGAGATCGAAACGGCCAGACGGAGACAAACGCACCGGACTTGAGACATGCTTGAGCCCCGTTAACATGTCCTCCCGGCGAGAGCACAAGTTGATAGTAGCACAGGTTGCTGCCGAGCCGGTAGGGTGCTAATGATACACTTTTCCCATGTCTGTCTGGATGTGTGTCTGCATGTATGCATGTCTGTATGCATGGATGGATGTCTATGTCTGTATGTGTCTGTGTGTGTGTATGTTTTCTCTTTATTCCCTTTACTCTTTGCGGGCGGCTTCAACCGCGAAGCGGTGTGAATAACTTTGTCCAGAAACCGAAGAACCAATGCTATTTAGGTTGGAGGCCATTGCTTCTAGCTAAAGATTTAACATAAAATGATTCGACGATGCTCAGTGCTGAGAGCCCGGACCTTTTGGCCATTGAGCCCCAGATTTCAGGGGCCGGCCGAGTGGATCCACTCACGAGGAGCGTGGATGGACAGTCCTGCACCGTGATGTTTGCACAGCACGCCGGAGTCGGGCCGAAGTTGTTCAATGAAGAACGCCCTGCTGTGCAAATAAATTGGTCAATCCTGGTTGAGACCAAATGTGTCCTTCTACAAACCTGGGAGATTCGGCCTTTACAAAAGACAGACAGAACTGTTCGGACTTCGAAGACCTTGCGACCCGGCGGCCGAGGTAAGTCCACCCTTCCATGAATACGGTGACCTCTTCCTTTGGTTCCAAAAGGAACGAACTGTGGTTGTTGGGGGTGTCACGCCTCACATGGCTTCACCGGATTTGTTGGCCAATACAGGCCGCAGACCTGAATTTAGAGAGCATCACTGATCGCTTGCACCAGGCACCTCGGGAATGGAAATGGTCGGAAAAGCTAAGCGAAAGTTCATGGTTGGCGGCTTAGAAGGTTGAAATTCATCTGAGTCAAAATGATACTAAAATAATGAGGGCAGAACGTATCTCAGGCACGTGTAGTCTGCCAGAGTCATTGTAGTCCCAATTCCTTCTGGCCTTGTCCAGATTTCGCCTAGGTTGCACACCGCGTTGCGGTGTGCCGTTCTCTCAAATGAGAGCCATGTGGCTTGGCATGGCATCTGAGCTGTGAACAGCGGCCGCTGACATGATATTCAATCCTTAGATTGGGCCCCAACAAGCACTTCACCGTCATATACGGCCATCATAAATCCATACAGGATGATTCTTGCAGTCTGAAAAGGTCGATGGGCTGTCTTCAACATCTAGAACTACTTCAGCACTTCAATTGAGTTCCTTCCAACTGTCACGTCCCCACCAAGAGTCCCTTTGCAGCTAGACGATCCCACACATGCAACTTTGCATGCTTCCAGGGAGGCAGCGCTGGTCACCGTGAAGTAAGTATCTGAGCGATTGAAGGGAAGGGCCAAAAAACTGCTGCAGCATCGAAGCTTTTTCCTCATAGTTCCCGCCCCCAACAAAATGGATTTTGGATGAAATTGTGGCAGCATTTGTAAAGGATATGACCAAAGGATACCAAAGGACTTGGGTCACTTTCTTGAATGAGCACATGAACACATCGTTGCCTGCATTGTCACCAGCATTCACACCGCGGCACACCTGACATGGTTCGCTTGCACGACACAGGAAACACTGCACCATTGCTTGCCGCTTGCCGCTTGCCGCTGTGCAAGCTGAAAACGTTATTAGAAAGTTGCATTAATATGTAACAAGAGTCGTGCAACGGGATGTGCCGGTCTTGCTTCCTACACGACCAGGAATGTACTCAGGCTCACAACTCTCTACTATTGCACTTTCCCGCCTGATCTGTTCCATCTCCCATCACAGGCTGGAAAAGTGCAGGGTTGAGTGTTGATGTGGTGCTTGTGGTGGTGGGTAGATTTGGTGTGTAGGCCAAGCAAGTGTAGCCTCAGCAAAAGCTGAGGCACTCCAGACACCAAGCGACAGCACTGATCCTTCAATACGAGGAAAAGAATGTCACTTCAGAGTACACCTGGCCATACTACAAAGAGTAAAGCAGAAAAAGTATACTCCAAATTCTTCCACCATGTGTTTTAAGATTATGTTCCTTTCGATTTCGTGCAAGATGCCATCGAGAGGAAAGGTCGAGCCAATTCCCTCTGGACGAATCCTCAGGGGTATCTTTCTGATGTTGTATAGGGTGATCTGCGTTCATGATCTGATCACACTCATCTGCATGTGTTCTCATCTCTGTCGCCTTGTGTTTTCACAATGAAATGTCCTTTCGTTTTCAAACCATCAAATCCCTACTTGCTGTCAATGCTTGGATTCTTGGATTTCTTGAGGTTTTCAGACTAAGTGGAGCGCCAGATTTCACATCGACTTCCACCTGCATTGTACTCGATGCCCTTGCAGTCCGCAACCGCCACGCATTCGGCCTCGACTCAGAGCGGTACCCTCACAGCGTGGTCGTTTCGTGAGCAGATTTGATCATCTCTCCCCACCTGGCATCCCTCCAAGCTGGGGATGTTGTACTTCACCGTGAAGTACTCCGGAAGGTTGTCACCTTTCGAATCGCTGACATTCTCATCCACCAGTGACGGGCTGAGAGATCTCTAAGGCACCACGCCTGGCCCTTCGCCTCGACACACTTGTCCAGTGCCATCACCGGACAAGGGTTGGAAGAGCGCCTGGGTTCCAACGCTAACGACGAATGAGCAACGGTGTCGCAGAACCTGCCTCTCCGTGCTCATCCGTCCGAGTCAGGTGGTACCCGAACCAAAAAACGTGCTTGTGGTGTCGCCAGCTTTGTGGCTGTTAGGAGAGAGGTTTGTGTGGTTTCGATCTAATTTATATCTCTTGATCGAGGCGATCTCATCTGTCGGGAACCAAGACTACCATTTACACAGCGGAAGTGTGCCAACTACCCATCCGACAAGCTGCTTGGTTGATGCTGGTTGTGGTGGGGGCCTCGGACAATGCTTGCTAAGGCGGGGCAAAGCACTTCAGCACTTCCTGCACATTCCAAGTGATGGCGAAGCAAGCCAAAATGAAGCCCCTAAACTCAAGGCTGTCGAAGCCCCTAAGCCCTAAGCCTCGGACATTTGGCAGGTACTTTAAGCACACGTAGCCTGCAGCTTCCTTGGTGACCTCAATGCCTTCTGGTCGGGTCCAGATTTCGCATCGTTGACCTCCAGCGTTGTACTCGATACCAACACATCCCTGGAAGTTGGCACAGAGCGACTTGCAGTCTTCAAGAGTTGCCACCATATGCTGCGCGGTAAAGTACCTCACAGACCGTTGGTAGTGCCACAACTAAGCGAAGAAAGCACTTGCATGACAAAAAGGTGTGTGACAAACATGTCTTTTTGCAAAAACAGTGGAGCAACCCATTCTCTGTGTCAAGCTGCTCAGCCCGGTTGTCGGTGATGCTCTCACCACGGCAAACTTGGTTTGAGCCGTCACCACTGATGGGCGCAAATGCACTTCCACTGGTGGTGGTGCTGGTGGCGGTGGTGGTCGTTGTCATGGTCGTTGTCGTGGTCGTTGTAGTTGTCGTTGTGGTGGTTGTAGTGGTAGTTGTGGTAGTTGTTGTAGTTGTGGTGGTTGTAGTTGTGGTGGTTGTAGTCGTGGTGGTCGTTGTGGTGGTCGTAGTGGTGGTGGTAGTGGTCGTTGTGTCTGTCGACTTACACTGGTAGAGGTCTAAGATCTGCGAGATATCGCCTGGAACACCGCTGAAAATTTACACCACCGTAGACCCCAAACAGTTTGTGTTTTTCAAAGTCGAAACTAGAGCTTGCCACGTCCAGAGCTGCGAGACAAAGGGTTGCAAGGCAGAGGCGGCCACAGCAGCCCAGAGCTGGGAGACAAGTGTGAAGGATTGCAAGGCAGAGACGGACACAGCAGACAGAGCGGGCGGACACATCTTAAGAAAGAATTGAGAAGCCCTAACAGTAACCCTTTTGGGGAGTTATTCTTCAAGCGCGAACATGATTCTGGTCATGCTGCTCAACCAGCGGGGAGCTGACCACGTGAGGACAAGAAATAAAACCATAAGGAGCGAAGGATGTGACATGAAATTGATTTTTGGTGCCTGACGTATGCTCTCCGTCCCAACTGAACAGAGAGATCGCTGCCACGCCGCCAAATCCAATCCGGTCATTCATCCAACGCTTGCCCGAAAAGGAAAACAAAGCTGAGAGAGTTACACAGTGCGGCAGGAATGCAATCCCGGAGACAGTCACGCACCCCTTTCAAAGGAGCAAGAACCTTTCACAGCTCAACCTGTTCCAGCGGACAGGGCAGAAAACACCAGTGCAGGCACCAACCCTGAAAGACAAAAAGAAAGAAATCACATGGGAGACAAATGAATGGAAATGCTACATGGCCAGCGGAAAAGGGCGGCAGCACCAGTGACAGACCCGGGAAACAAATGAATAGAAATGCTGCATGGCCAGCGGCAAAGGGCGGACACCAGCAGTGACAGACCTGGAAAACAAATGAATAGAAATGTTGCATCGCCAGCGGAAAAGGGCGGACACCAACAGTGACAGACCTGGGAGACTAATGAATAGAAATGCTGCATGGCCGACGGAAAAGGGCGGACACAAGCCGTGACAAACCTGGGAGACAAATGAATAGAAATGCTAATGGCCAGCGGAAAAGGGCGGACACCAGGAGTAACGGACCTGGGAAACAAATGAATAGAAATGCTACATGGCCAGCGGAAAAGGGCGGACACCAGCAGAGACAAATGAATAGAAATGCTACATGGCCAATGGAAATGGGCGGACACCAGCAGTGACACAAAGGGCGGACACATCTTAAGAAAGAATTGAGAACCCCTAACAGTAAACTGTTTAGGGTTGCAAGATCGAACTGCGTGTCAAAAACACTGAGGGCTGACAAACCCTGCGCATGTTGTCTTGCGCGTTTCTGCAATGTCACTTGGGGGTTCACCCATACTTACACCCATTGTGAGAAAAAACTCAAAGCATTATAATATACTGGCTAAAGTAACGCGAAGCGGCAATGAACAACTTCACTGGTTCTCTGTCCGCCTGTGGATAGTTGGTTGCGGTTTCCCACCAGCGACTCTTTGCTTGTCGGAATTGTGTCGAAGGCTGAACCACCACCGTAGTGCATGATACCTGAAGCAAAAAGAAAAAAGAACCTCCAGCCTAGAAGCAATGGCCTCCAACCTAATCTCCAACCTACTAGCAATGGCCTCCAACCTAATAGCGATGGCCTCCAACCTAATAGGAATGGCCTCCAACCTAATAAGGATGGCCTACAACTGCCTTACACTTAGCAGCCAGTGCCGCACCTTGTGAAGCGCTGTTTCAACAAAGGCAGTCAAGCTCTGCCAAGACAATCGTGGTCAATTCTCTGTCGGAAGTTCTTCAATGCTATGTCGACAGTGTCTAAAATCCAAGCGAGTAACTTTCGAAGTCATAGTCAGCATAGCCCACCTCACACCGGCAGCTTGGTTGGTTCGACCACAAGGCTCTTGCTGTGTTTTTTCTTGTATCTCCACCAAAACGCTCCAAAATGACGAAGATTCTTCGGACAAATCGCCACACATATTTGATGTTCACAAGTCAATTCTTCATCCCTACAATTGTTTATTTTGCTCAGCCTATGGGCCTATGTTGCTTCCACTTACATGGCCGTTTTGCTTCTCGAAGTCTTTGCCGGTTTCTTTTCTCCCAAGACGGGCTCTTAGTCGAGCCGCATGAGGATCGCCAGTGCCATCGTTCTTTGAGCCCGTATAGACCCGGTCGTTCGGCTCGTATTGGGACCACCAGGACTGATCAATGTTGTCCTTGGTAAATCCCATCCCTTCGCCTCGGCCTACGTAAAGGAACATACGCGGCGCTTTTGAATCCGTGATTTGTTGGTATCAATTGATCAAGAGAAGCTTCACCACTGTGGCTCATGGGGAACTACGACACAAGTAGTTCAATGCCGGAAAGATCCGAAAAGATATCAACGCCTGGCCCAGAAGGGTCAGATCCTTTTCAACGATCCGTGAGAGTTGTTGATCTCAATTGACGACAACTATCCAATTGGACGTGCCGCAAGAAAACACACATACGCGACAACCAAGATGCCCAGAAGACAGTCAAATGCGGCCCTTTACCTCAAGAATACTCAATAGAATGTCGGAGATGCAGAACTCTATGCAAAAGCTCAACATGCTGAAGAAGAACCCACAAAATGGTCTAAAAGTCTGTACCTCGAATGTCTTTGTTTTGTCACATTGGACACCTTTCGGCGCTGGCACAAAAAAGAAATGAATCTCCGAGGCGCCGTAGAAGGTTTCTGGTCCATCGGGTCTCTGCTGCTCGTGGCTCATCCCCAAAATGTGCCCCAGTTCATGGACCATGCTGCCAATCTTGGTGAACACGAGTCCACACGAGTCTCAAAGAAGATCTCCGTTTAAAGAAAAAGACTCTCCCATGACAAGACTCTGCACAAATGGTGACACCTCTACACTTCAGCCGGAGGCTTCTTGGGCTGCACGTCTAATTACCTGAAAATTGAATGATCCATTTAAAAACTGAGGCCAGCCACATGACGTTCACCATTGCACCATCCAAGATTGACTCTATAGTTGGTGTTCGTGCCATAATACCTTGGCAAATGTGTCGCTGCAGCACCAGTTGTACTCAACAACATGAGCGGGCCACAACCATCAAAAAAACGTACCTTGCACCCAAGTCTCCGATCGGGAGCTGCTTGGTTAGTCGCGTTTAGTGGTAAAGGAAAAGACACTTATATATATATATACAGTAAATGATCTTAAGCGCAAAAAAGTTGACTTAGTTTACCTACAAAGGACCCCGTTCGCGTCGGTCTCCATCCGTGGTGGAGGCCGTTTTAGCCGGTTTCGTCCTATCCCGACCGTCTTCCCGGATTTGGTCGGATCCGCCGGCTGCAGGAGTGGTTGACAGACTCAAAGGTAGACTCCAACTCAATCCGAAGCATCACAGCAGTCCAAAGGAATTTCAAGCTACCCCAAAGTCGCATAGCAGCTGCCACTGTCGAAATTGCCCACCGTCACATACGGCCTCCACAAACACATCCTTTCTGAGTCCAAATGAAAATGCGGCTAAGCTTCAGCCTGTCATTCGACGTCATGTCTTAAACCTTCTCTCCCCCTCGTTCTTTCCACATGTCTTTCACGCTCGACACCACGCTTCTCCAGACCACTTCTCCAGCACCTCGCCGGGCTCGATTCCTCGATGAAGTTGATGCATGTGGCGTCCTTGAGGAAGTGAAATGAAGCAGAAATTGGACGCCATCGATAGTAGGTTGGAGGCCATCGCTATTGGGTTGGAGGCCAACGCTATTGGGTTGGAGGCCAGAGCGGCCTTGTTAAAGAAATAAAAAAGTGTTGTAATCTCCAAGGCAATGATCTACAAGCACTTGGATTCTAGAGCTGTGCCCCGAAACGGTGGCCTGTGCGAGTGCACGCACTTTCTGGCCTAAGCCTTCGGTAGCCCCGTACCTTCTAAACGTTCAATGGGATGACACACTTGGAAGCATATGCTTGGTGGAGTATCCCGGATCAAGCGACTTCAAAGGGAACTGTGTGCGCTACATGAGTCATGAAACCTCACCGATGCACAAATGTATCCCTGCTTAGGATCCTGCAACCCCTCCCACTTCGAACTCCAGCTGAGCCGCTCTCCAGATCTCCACCGCTTGCCGCAAGGCATTCTTCCGGGTGCTGTCCAGGCCAGATTCGAAGGTGTACCTGATCTCCACCTCAAAAGCTTCGGAGAGAAAGGCGGCGGTGCGAGTCCTGGCCCGGACGTCCGGCGGCTGGGTCGCTGGGGCCGTCGACTGGGTGTCGACTGGTCGAACGGTCTTTCCCGACCTTCTTTCGGGTCGAACTGGGAGGTGGTCTCCCTGGACTGAGGTCGCTACACACGGTCGCTACACTGGCTGATGTGTGTTTGCTGCCATGCGATGTTTGTCCGAGCTGTCGAAGACTAGAAGTCTCAGTGTCCTCTTGATCTGCAATGGGATCGCATGCTGTCTCAGCTCATGCTCGTAGCAACATTGCTTTATGTTTGGGGGACTTTCAAGCTAACAGCTAACTACTTCGAGACCTTGACTGCTTAGCCAAGCTTCATACTCCTGCCACACATCTGCACCAGATCCAGGATTCTCACTACTGGCAAGCAAATGCAACAAACAAGAATCTTTACAGTACAAGCCGTTGCAAAACTAATCATAAAAGTAGAGATTCACGAGTAGAAAAAAAGGAAACGCAAGACACACCGCAAAAATGTGAGAAAAGAAACTAAAAACCAAAACGAATGCATTACATAATATGCATTAGAAAGATATTAGAAAACAAGATCCTGGGCCGAAAATCTCCCGTAAATCGCGCCTCCGTGAGGGCCAACGAGTTCCCCCACTGCTCTGTGGTCCGGAACGGCTCCAGCCAATCCCGTCTGGTGGACCTCATCTGCCACTTTGGCGAAAGGAGATACGCTGAAGGAATCGAAAAAAGTCCTGAAGAAAGACCTTTAGTTCAACTGAAAAACTTCCCAATCGTCCCACCCCAAAACAACAGTTGCTTGAATGTGGCTGCCGCTTCCATGCAGTGCTTCAAGGGGTCTGAGGACAGAGCCTTCAGCAGTGGTGGTGGTCGTCGCAGTGGTCGGAGGCCCTGTGTAGGTTGTGGTGGTTGTTGTGGTGGTCGTGGTGGTCGTCGTCTCACCGCAGAAGGTGCCCCCAAACCCAGCGCAGTTCTCAGGAGTGGTATCGCCGTTGATCTTGAAACAGGCGCAAAATCCACCTGCCGCGGAGTAAAGACGAAAGCGCACGTCTTAGCGCACGCACGGCTGAAAAGAGCAAGATCTGCTTAGATCAGCAGTTACATGCAGTTAGTAGAAGCCAAACCTCTGGATTCTACCGAATTCTACCGAACCTGTGGACTCGTTTCTGCTGCGGTGTAGTGTGGCCTGCTGTATAGTAGGCGTAGCATGGATATTCCGGATTTCCGCACGGGCAAGTCCCGCTCACCGGGCCTCGCTCGCGACGGACGATCCGTCAACCGTTTCGAAACCGGTCGGTCGAGACCGGTCGAGTCTGGAAGAAAAATGGCCGCAACCCCCAAAAACGGATGTCAAATGCATTTTTGATCTTTTATGGATGCCAAAAATGGATTTGATTTTGTATATTGTCCTCCCAGCGGCACTCATTTCGACCACTTCGGCCCTGCAGAAGTGCGGGCGCTGGCGGTTTGGGGTCGATCATGATCTCGGGGTCGATCTCGGCCTCGCAAGCCAAACGGAACACCAAGCACTCCTGGCATCGCTACTAGGAGCAATGTTCGCTATGCACGGCGCTCCGGGCCGTACTACTAGTAACAAGGACGCTACGAACGGGGCTCCTGGCATAAAAATCCAAGCCTAGGCACTGGTGCAAAGAAAAAATATGTATATACATTGATTGATGAGCAAAAAGCAACAACTTCGATCCGAGGATGAAATGAACATCCTTTGGCCTGGGTAACTTTGACCACATCTTCCTCTTCCTCGGCAGAGATCTTCTGCCCCTTCGCCACAGAGTCCACGTAGGCCACATCATCCTGTGACATGGAGATCAGTGCTGCTGAGATGGAGCCATCCTGGTCGAGACATCAACGGGAAGCGCACTGCAAATGGTGTCGATCAGCTCAAAGAGGAAGAAGCAGCAAAATTCTATCCGAACCTCTCCTATAAACATGTGCTCTTGTCTCGGGCAAGTTGTTCAGGTCATGTCATTTCTAGGTTTTGGCATGTTCCGCAGCTGGTACCATCTAACAGCAGCCCTGACAGGCACTGGCCGCCCTGGGCGTCCTCAAAGTGACCGGTGTAGCGATAGGCACGAGCAGAGGTCTCGCTGCATTTCTCCAGCTCACTCCAGGGCAAGGTTAAGCCTCCCGGTGGTCGGTCACACTCAGGCCAAGGAGTTGCAGGAACCAGCAATTTACACAACACTGCACACTACACTTCAAACATCTACAATCTACAAGCAAGCCTCCCAAGCCTCCCAACAAACATCCAAGTCAAGAGGCATAATGTTCTGAATATTCAACAAACTCATCAAACTCAAACATCTCCGTCAAAAACAGCGCCGTCACCTGGCTGGGGAGTCTCCCAATGCCAAACGTCCTCGTTCAACACAGAGGCTCCGCAGCGGCATTCACCACCCAGGATTCCAAAGAGGTCTAAGCCTGGAGAGATCACACCGACCCAAACAGGGCTGTTGGTCCGTGAAACGTTCGTGCCCCTGGAATATGATCCTTTTGCTCAACAAGTTGAGTTGTGGGTTCCACCACCCCCTGACTCCAAATAGAGTCACTTGGTGTTGAAACAAATATATTCTGGTGTTGTGAACCTACTTGGTTGAATGCTTCACGGAGTCGATCTCGATTCTGTCTACAAAGCATGAAAAAACCATCCGATTCCCGCCTCTCTGTGCACAGAACCTGAAGCACATGTGAGGAGGTATTGCCTGAAGCACATGTGCTGACGAAAATATTGGGATGGGAACTGCGGAGAGGATGGGCAGTGCGTCGGAAATCGAACGAAAGAACCTGAAGAGTTGAGTGGTCTTAATCCAGAATCCTGGGCGGTTCTGCGGCCGCCCGTGCTCTACGCCGTTCTGCAGTGGATAGACTTAGGAAACAAATTGGAGAATGTCTGACTGTCCTTTCGCATCGTGAACTCACCTAGCCTGTACTGAAACGGTCAGGCACAACGGGTCTTTTTGGGGAAGACTAAAACCCCACCACCTTCCAAACCACCCAACCACCGCCCCTGCCCCAGGGTTGATCCGCCGTCGATCAAGCACGACGCACCAAACAAAGCTAAGCAGCCATGTCGGAGGACGTCCATCGGTAAAATGGAAGGCCCAAGCGACACTTGGCTTCTTCGGTCCAGCCAAGGCAAGCCTCATCGCGCAACTGGCCTGGAGTGGCCTGCCAAAAGGCTCAAATGATGAAAGTAATGTCCTCTGGATCTTTTGTCATTCTGTTTCTCTGTTATTCTTCCTTGCTTTCAACCTTTAGACTCTTCAATCCACTTGTCGCTTTTTCCGTTCATTTCTTCCGCACAGGTTCCAACCGCACAGTTTGGGCAAAGGCCTCCCCTTCAGGTCTGTCAGCACCACCGAGGCAGCCAAGGAAGGCGAAGCGAACATCTCGGCCTCGAAAACGACCGCGGAAGCGACGCGTCGAACTCCGATCATCATAAGCCCGAACATGCGCGACCCGCGAAGGGAAGCCAGGGTCGACGGCGCATGGGCAACTGCCATGAAAAAACGGGCCACATCATGCCACATCTGTGTTTTCTTGTTCGACCACATGTGGAAGAAATGTTGGAGAATGGACAACTAGCTTTGTCTGAAGAGTCTTTGAAGAAGAACTCTTGGTGCCGTACCCTTCATGGACCTTGTTGATCCTTTTTGCATAGATTCAACTTCTGAGCTTCGCGACTGCTTCCGAGAGCTCCAAGTTCTTCATGAAGACTACCCAGCAATAGTCGAGCATGATCTGTTCAAGCTGAGATAAAGCACTCATGAACATCTTCTGTTTGCAATAGATTGGAGTTGAGATCGGCAGCCACGGAAAACACTTGTTAAGAACATGCCACGGACTACCTCTACGAATCTTCCGAATTCCTCTTTGCACATCGTCCAATTGAGTCAATGGATAAAATGAAAACCACTACAAGTAGAAACCAAAATCCAGCCTCCTACGCGTGCATCCCCCTTCGTTGAGATATGTTGACATGAATCAGTTCAATTCAACTCATGCCTGGGAGTTCATGGCACAAAGTAACTCCACAATCGCAGCGGTGCCAATGGCGTGGCTTATGTAAACCTGCGCGGGGGGGTGGTTCATCTACCCCGAGTGCCCGCAGTTCTCAGGGGCAGAGCGTAAAGGGGAAAAAAGGACGCACTCCTCTTCTAGGGTCAAAAACTACCATGGCCACTTGAAGGCTCTCGACACCTTTAGAATTTCTTGATCCATAAGGGAAAAGGGTTTCTAACAACTAAAAACATCCAACACCAAAAATAGTTCAAAAATTAGCATCACCTGAGAAAAGAGGGGACGAAAGCCAGCCTCCTTAAGAAGACATCAACGTGGTTATGGGGTGAATTCGACAGCGCACTGGAACTCCTGTCAAGCAAAGGGAAATAGAAGGCAGAGGCAGAAGGCAAAGGCGCAAAGTCGCGCATTGAGGGCCGATCTTTATACACAAGGTTTCGATCAAGGCCCTTTTGCGGTTATAGGATAGAAGTGGAGCCCGTGCGTCAGGAAAAAAGTTTACTTGAGCACGACATTCACAGGTGGAGGGGTGGGGTCCCCTTTTTCTTCGTGTTCAAAGGCTTTTCCAAGCTGAAAAAGGGCACCCCTAAGCAAGTCACGTTCTTTCTCGCGCTCCCTTTCATTCTTATTACCCACGAGACAGCACAGGGCTGAGAGACGCACTTCTCACTTTCCTAGTGATTTCCCGACCTCTTTTCCTGTCACGTGTTTCGCCGCTTTCCTGTCCTCCACATGAATTCCCACCCCGTATCCCAAACCCAACTCCCTCGTATACCTCTCAGGGGTGCCCTTTTGCATCCAGTTAACAGCCCTCTTCACCATAAACAGGGGCATGACTGCATTCTGTTCCCTCTCCTGTCCTCAACGGGTGACATCGTTTCTTGCGTTCCCTTCCACTCTAGTCAACCACAAGAAAAAACATTAAGACGCACGTCTGACTTTCGTAGTAAACTTACAACCTCTTTTCCTGTCACGTTGTCCCCCCTTTCCTGTCCCCGACATGAACTCCCACCCCTTGTCGAAAGATTGTCCAAATAGCCTCCTGAGCCCCTCATGATGCTAATGATGGACCATTCGGCATCAATTACATCACTTGCATCGCAACACCCCAAAAATCATACATGTTCACTGCTTTTCAGACCAACCTTTCGTTCGTTCTCCCCCACCAGGCTCTGGGTTCGCGCTACCTGGTGGGCCGGCTAGGTCACCACCCCTCCACACCCCCTATACTCACTTCGTTCGCCCATCCACAACTCCAGCCTAGCCTATCGGGCGATAATCATACACTAAAAACAAACGCCAATTAAAGGACCGGATAACCCCACATATGAGTCTTTACGAATCTTAAGTTTCTAAAGCACAAAGCAGTCAGAGTCTCAATAGCTTCTACAACACGGCCTTGTCAGGAAGTGATATCAGCTTCCGACAACAGAGCGGTGGGAGAGAAGGTGTAAGAGAGTGATGTGCACGGCGGATGTACGAGGTATTGTGCACACAGGTGTGCGCAGCCACAACTAACCAACAACACCAGCGGTTGTCGCACGTCCGCAATATGGGGCATAATGTACTAAGGTTGTACTACCAAGTCGCCAGTTCTCATCTTCCAGCTCCCCAGCTACTCCGCGTACTACAGTTGTACTACAAAGTCGCCAGTGCTCATCTTCCAGCTCCCCAGATACTCCGCGTACTCAAGTTGTACTACCAAGTCGCCAGTTCTCATCTTCCCACTCCCCAGCTACTCCGCGTACTAAAGTTATACTACCAAGTCGCCAGTTCTCATCTTCCAGCTCCCCAGCTACTCCGCGCACTAAAGTTGTACTACAAAGTCGCCAGTTCTCAGCTTCCAGCTCCACAGATTGCTCCGCGTACTAAAGTTGTACTACAAAGTCGCCAGTTCTCAGCTTCCAGCTCCCCAGCTACTCCGCGTACTACAGTTGCACTACAAAGTCGCCAGTTCTCATCTTCCAGCTCCCCAGCTAGTCCGCGTACTAAGGCTGCACTACAAAGTCACCAGTTCTCATCTTCCAACTCGCCAGATACTCCGCGTACTAAAGTTGTACTACAAAGTCGCCAGTTCTCATCTTCCCACTCCCCAGCTACTCCGCGTACTAACGTTGTACTACCAAGTCGCCAGTTCTCATCTTCCAGCTCCCTAGCTACTCCGCGCACTAAAGTTGTACTACAAAGTCGCCAGTTCTCAGCTTCCAGCTCCACAGATTGCTCCGCGTACTAAAGTTGTACTAGAAACTCGCCAGTTCTCAGCTTCCAGCTCCACAGCTACTCCGCGTACTAAAGTTGTACTACAAAGTCGCCAGTGCTCAGCTTCCAGCTCCACAGATTGCTCCGCGTACTGTATTAAAGTTGTACAAAGTCGCCAGTTCTCAACTTCCAGCTCCCCAGCTACTCCGCGTACTACAGTTGTACTACAAAGTCGCCAGTTCTCATCTTCCAGCTCCCCAGCTAGTCCGCGTACTAAAGACCACCACCAGACCCTCTAACGGAGCGAGATCTATTGCAATTTGCAATAAGACAGCGCCGCAGCCGACCACAGCCGACAACAGCCGACAACAGCCGACAATGCCGCCACCAGACCCTCTAACGGAGCGAGATCTATTGCAATTTACAATAAGACAGCGCCGCAGCCGACCACAGCCGACAACAGCCGACAACGCAACTACCAGACCCTCTACCGGAGCGAGATCTATTGCAATTTACAATAAGACAGCGCCGCAGCCGACCACAGCCGACAACAGCCGACAACGCAACCACCAGACCCTCTACCGGAGCGAGATCCATTGCAATTTACAAGAAGACACCGCCCCAGTCGACCACAGCCGACAACAGCCGACAACAGCCGACAACGCCACCACCAGACCCTCTACCGGAGCGAGATCTATTGCAATTTACAATAAGACAGCGCCGCAGCCGACAACAGCCGACAACGCCACCACCAGACCCTCTAACGGAGC